GTTTCAGCAAATGTCCTTCTTCTACCTCTCAAAACAAAGAGTTCACTGGTGCTTCATCTGGGCTATATCCTCCGCAAGTTCTAAACAGTGTATGTTGGAAGAACAAAACCCTGTCATAGAGAAATCTCTTCTCCAAAATCCTGCTCTGGATTGTTTATCTGAGGATTATGCTTTTGTTTCATCGGAGGAAAGGCTTAAAACATCACTACAAATAGGAAAAACACGGATGTCGACTATCACTGTAGACTTTCTGCATTGTTCTTTCTCAAAGCATGGAAGATGACAGATTAAATCTCTGTTGCATCCCGTCATTGAGACCATCCTGTAGTTCCACCCTCAGGTAGACCCCAACTACTCCACTTAAATCAATGTGGATACACTTAGTCTATGCAATACACACAGGCCAAGAAGTTTAACCCTTCTGCTGCAGAAAAGCAGCCACAGACCACATTTCTCATGGTACACTTGAATCTTTCACTGGTCTGTCTAACCCATCAGTTGATGGGATGTTCTTCCCTAATCCAGTCACTGGACTAAATTGATTAGCAGTGTAGAAGGCAAAACCAAACTGTGTAATTAAATCACAGTGATTACTGGACAATGGCAGCAGTCTGGAAACATCATTTCTGGGCTGCATCCATCCACTCAGACACTTTTGCAGAAAAGCTACTCGAAGTCTGCTCGCATGGGGTAGGAGCTAGACTGCACCCCAAAAAAAAAAATTAAACTACAACTGCTGTCTTCCTCATCGGCAAAATTAATGCTTAGTGCTCCACTTCATCCACATACTGTTGAAAGATTCTTCACTGTTATTATGTTTGAAGAGGCTTTTTCCAAATGTCATATTGGCATGTAACAACCACAATATTCATAACATGCAGGTGAACTTTCATAAAGCAGAGGAGAAAATTAACATTCTTCCTTATCAGAGGAAATTGAATCTGATTTTTCATTCCATCAAAACATCTCTTCACAGACAAAATAAATCCCATAAATTGCTTTAACCCATGTATCTGCCTAGAGTCCATTCTATACACTATTGTAACAAAGCATGTAATCAAAGTAAATGAGCATAATTACCAACAAGTCCAAATATGGGGTTTCTGGATTCTTTCTCAGACATTTCATATGTGACCATGTTACCATAGGCTTACATTGAAAAATAAGAATAAAATATATTGGATTGCAAGATAAAAGGGTATACATTAAAAATTCATGCAGAAAACATCTCGTAACCATGATGACTATTCATTCAAATCTAGTCTTTTCTCCCCAAAGGTAAATTTAACCAAATCACAGAGCATGGCCAAATAATTACCCGTTTCAAGGGACAGTGGGGTCCCATGCTATCAGACTTCACAGAGAGAATCTCCTTTCATTTCTCGCTACCAGGTAGGAGCAAGAAATGACTGAGCATGATTCCATTTATTTAATGGTAGTTCAGGTGAATTTGTCATTTCTTCACACTCGTGTTTCTAGTCCTAGTTATCCCGAGGGGTCAGACAGACTCGTTTCAGGCACCCTCACAGCTGTACAACTTTCTCGACCGGTAACAACCCCCTAACACATCACATCCCCACCCACGCAGCCGCAGTGGGCAGGGGGCCCTGCCACGGCTCGGGGAGATGCCCTTCCCCACGGATGCAGCAAGACCAGGGGGAATTACAGGCGACTTTCTTTATCTTCCACGTCTGACAGAAGCAGGAGGCATGACCCATTGTAAGCGTTACAAGTCAGGTCGTGTCACATCTCAACAGCTTAACGGCATGGCCAGTGGCACGAGTCATGTCAGCAGTTAAATGACAGTAACAGAGTCACCTGTCAGGTCGTGGCTCCGGGAATCAAGTAACACATGCATATTGATGGCACGTAATAGTATGCGCACAGATACATCTTCATAAAGATAATATAAATCAAGCTCCTGTCCAAGACAGGCGCATGTCACAGCTGTAAGATGTGGAAGTTAATTCATTTAAATTACATTTTAAACCAGGCAGAACCGTAATCTGTCCCGAGGCACGTTAATACATCAGGTATCCTGATCCATCTTTCAAACGGTCCTGAGTTAGACCATTTTTTTTTTCCGCATAACTACCTCCCAACTGAAAACAAGCACTGAAATTATATTTAAACTACATTTCTCCTTCCACTCTAAGTGCAAATTAAGATACATATTTAGAAAAAATAAGTCTTTCAAGAAACCAGCTATGCTATGTTAGCAGCAAATGACCTGATCTCTAATAATAACTTCGTACTTATCAGGACTAATCCAAAACAGAAGTGTTTAACCAATTTTTTTTTCCCCAAGATAATATTTTCTTCATTTTCTGATGAAACTGGCCATGAATGTAAGTGCATTTAAGCAGAGAAAACTATGCAGTTAGGCTCTTCCTCGCCACATATGAATACAAGCACAAGCTAATTTACAAGTCTTTAGCTACATTGTCTTGTAGGAATTTTTACACTACTCTGCTTCCAGAGCAAAGAAAATTACAGTCTTTGCTCTTGACTGTAGAACCTGAAGTTCAAGTGTTCAGTGACACTTCTGGTGTGGTTGCTGGGGCCGAGAGGAGTACAGCTGGGATCCAGCCCTACTAATGTGAAAGCTCCCCAAGACTTAAGGATATTTCTGCAGGAAAAATGTAGTTTGATTTCACATACCTCATACAAAAGCCCAGATGCTTTTGTGAAGAAATGACAATTATATGCATAGACATGGTACCTGTGGATGCAAATATCCAATTTCTGAGCATAACCAAAATGCTTGCAGAAATGATGTAGTTATGCAACAATTCAATACTTATTGGTAATTTGTTTTCTGTGGTGTCTTACTTCAGTTGCTGCTATTTTGTATTAGTGTTGTGTGTTAGAGAGTCTTTGAATGGAGGAGAATGCCACAGAAGATATATCTCAAAAAAAAAAAAAAGAAGAGTTGCAAATTTTACAGCTGTAATATAAAAGTAGGAGGCACCTGGCAGCAGATGTGGAAATCAATAGTGTTGAAACAAAGGATGACAAAATGCAGACGCTTTCATTATCTGGTTATTAACTACCAAGACAGATTGCCAGGGCATTTGGCAAATTCTTCACCCTCAGATACTTTTACTCACAATCACATACGTGTCGTAATGGGATGCCCTAGTTGGGGTACAGGAATTACCTTCCTGAATGGGACCAAGATCTCTGTCCTGTCTTCAGCAAGGGTCAGCACCAGCTACTTCAGCACAAAGTTTAGAAACTCCAAATAGGCAAGAATTGGAAGCAATCCCTCTTCCATGTCATGACTTGTTTTGGACTCTGAAAGGTAGGAATTGACTTTCAGTGCTCCCACAGGAGGCTGGGCATTCCTCCCAGCAGGATATCCAGGGTTCCTGCAAACAGCAATAACCTTGATATCTATCTAAACAACTGATTCCTTTTTTTGCATTATGCTGCATTCTCAGCCTCACAGACCCTGCAGGGGCACCAGCTCCTCAGTTCAATTTCACAGCTTAATTCAATCCCAGATTATCAAATGCATGCAATTACATCGTGGCATTTGCATCACCGCGCTGTCCGAGCTGGACCATGAGCAGATGTGGGGTTCATGTGCATGTTGGCAGACCCAGCACACAGCTGGGAGCGGCTGGCTCTAACAGGAGCCTCACAAGCCTTCCCCTCTGTTTGATCTTATTTAAGTCAGGTGAATTCGTGGCCTGAAGGGCTTTCCTGACCGGCAGCAGCTCTGCAGATGTTCCCTGTTGGCCCTGCCCAACCCGCAGCTCCGCAGGCAGCGCCCAGCCCCAGCGTGACCCACGGCCAGTCCCTTCGGAGACTCGGTGGGGCTTTGGCCAGAAGGTGCCACAGCCCGAGTGGGGACACGGACTGCGTGAAGGCCACCAAACTGAATCAGAACCCCGGATCCAGCTGCCCAGTATAAACTCCCCCTTCACGTGGCACTCCGTCTCTCCCCAGGCAGCCCAGCACACAGCCCACACCTGCGCTGGCCACCACGGCTCGGGCTGTGACTTGCCCTGCGGCTGAGGGCGATGGCCACACATCGCAGCGGTCATTTTTTGCTATTGTTACACCAACTTTCCCCACTCCGACGCCTTTCCAAACAACTTGCTTAATTGAGTTTGTTTCTTCGTTATTCAGAGAGAACCATTCTCCTCACATCATATACCGCAGACAAGATATATTAAGTTCTGGCAGCATTCTTCCTAATAGCACTAGACCATTATCACCCTTGTAACTCTTTCTCTATGCATGTTACTCAAAGGCTCAGTACAGGGCACCATTAAAAAAAGATTTAGGCCCCCAATGTTACTGGGGGACACCAGATCCTGCTTTTTATACCATACATAGTTATAGCTCTAAGGTAAAAAGCAGGGCCAGCAGAACATCTTCAAGGCCAGATATAAGTGAGACAATTTCCCCTTGCAATTCCATCAGCCTTTTTTTTTTTTTTTTAAATGTGGGAAGAGGAAAGCACACTCCTGACCTTGCTTTGATGACACAGTATCATCTCAATTCAGTGCTGCAAGAGTAATGCTGGACAGGTGAGATCCTGGACTGGGGAAGGAAACTTATCTACGACACCATAATTTTTTCAATGAAAACATAATATTCAAATTGCTTTACAAATCTGTGAATAGAAACAGAACAAGACGAGCGTTGCCTTCTGCAGCTTCTAGTTATACCCTTCAATTGTGATGATCCGCTCTGAAGTAACTGCAGATGGAGGAGGACTGCATAGGTGCTAGGCTGATAACAACTCTTTTTTTCTCCTTTTTCTAATTATTGGAATAAGCAGCAGCATTGACCTAAAAATAAGACCAAGCATTCTCCAGATCTGCAATTATTCTCTCAACTTGTACTTGTCTACAATATTTCTCTCACTAATCACAACAGCACAAAATATGCCAGAACTGTTTGAAATCCAAGTCCATTCTCAGACACAGTAAAAGACTAATAATGAAACTTGTTTACATACATTTAATTCAACATACCAGAAGCAATTTTCTCACTCTCTTTAGCATTTTATTTGCTTATAAATACAAGTCAATACCACAAGATGGCACTTTCTTACTTGCAACACACACTATTATAAACACTTACCCTCTTCAAATGTTCCCAGATGTTTACAACACGTAACTTCTCAGTGGTTTCAAAACATTTAAAAAAGCAAGACCTTCTACAAACTGCATTTGTGTTTGATGTATATTAAATGAGGTCAGGTAATTAAATTCAAAAAAAGAATTTATAAAGATTTCAGATAAGAAAATTTAAATACAAAAGCAGAGTTTGTATTAATTAAACTGAATAACAATTTAAACTGGCCATAATGTATCTACATGGTTTAATTTAATTTAAAATACTTTTTAGACAATCAAATCCTCGAGCCATTCATCAAAACACCTATCTACTCAACTCTTTAAAAAATATTCTTGGTTAAGAAACCACCTATGCTTTTTCATAACAATCCTTATTCTGTCCTGTAGGCGGAAATGAAGCGAAATCATATTCCAGACTAGAAAACAGGATAAGAAGGAAGAAACTTTAAAAAACCTGAACTTCAGACACTTCTACTCATTCTTCCTTGCGTTTCTCAAAATACATGATCCGGTTTTAAAGTCTTTGAACGAAATGTAAACACTAGAAAACTCATTGTTGAAATATGTGAAGAATAAAGAACGCTGCACTAATATAGTGCATAATGATGCTGTGTCAAACTTGTCATTTACAGTAAATGTCACATTTTCCTCAGGATTGTCATGCCTGTTTTTTTACTAATTCCTTTTGATGTCTGTAGATTCTCTTATTTTTTTTAATTCCCATTGCTCAACAGGAAGAGATGTATTTTCTGGCCTCTTCAGAAAAGTTTCACAAGATCCAAGTCGTTGACTCCATTTTTTTCAATAAAGAAGTGGCAAAATTTTAAGCTTGCAATACTTCTGTTCTGCCTGGCATATTACACATCAGGAGATTCCTCAAAAAACTGAGAAGTCAGAGAGTTCCAAAAAAGAAAGCAGTTAAGGCAGTCGATGTCTACATTTGGATTTCTTTTTTATGTTACATATCAATGTCTCCGTCATAGGCTAAGGTTAGAGGCTTCTGCTGTGGAGGAGTGCTTTGATGCTGCTTTGTTTTTTTGCTGCAAAAAAAAACCATTTCAGGAGACAAAGTTATAGACTGTAATAAGCTCAGAAATGCCATCATAAACCAACCTTCTACAAAAAATCAACTTCCCACACTGTCTATTTCATTTTGCAACTAGGTGACACTGCAGCACAGTGACTACTTCCAAGAAAAAACACATGGACCTGCTTGAGTGCTATTACATGTGTGGTACGGACACGCAGCCTGCTGAAAATGGGCAGCCAACTGTGCTCTTCATCTGGAGAGGAAATAAAGCATATTTGTCTCCTGTGTCTTCTCACAGCTGACAAAACAAGGAACACCTTGTAGAAAAATTGAAACACGAACTGTCTAGGAGTGGGATATTCTCATTTTTTTTTTTGGCACGGTATTGAAGCAACAATAATTATTATTGAGAAATACACTTCCTCACCAGCCTTCGAGTGATGGAGAACTATGTAATGCTATTTAAAAAATCCTCTGTAAGCTCCACTGTGAAGTCACAGAGAGATGGTAGCTACATGGCTTAGAAAATAAGGAAGCTGCAGTTCTTAAGCAGCATCCAAAGGCTATTAATTAAGCTTTTAACTGAATAGGGAGACTGAGAGAAAGGCTAAGACAGTGAGAGAGAATAAATTGCTTTTGGATGGAAGAGGGCAATGATGCTGTCAGGCCATGGTTGTGACTCTTTGGTTGCCTGCCCTGATCTGACAGGGGTTGGGACAGCTTGTACCATTAATGTTCGTAAAGCCCAGGCCAGGTCCATGGTCCTCAGGGACAGCTGTGGGCGTTGCAGGACACACGGACACTGGCCACTCCTCCCTTTGTATCCTCCAAGACGCATCAATGGCAACACCTTTCCAGATGTTCAAACCAGAGAGCACAACACCAGCTCTGTCAAGCCAGGCCTACCACCCCTGCTCAGGGCGACTACTGCTTTGGAGGAGGGCAGACATCTCCCCCACCAGCGATGCACTGGGGTAGACCAGGGCTTCGGTACACCCACTACCCTATCTCTAACAGTGGCTGGTAGCAGCAGCTTTAGACACAGGACATGTTTCCACCTGACATATTCACTGCAAAAACCTATTTAGGGATTTCCTGAGCAGGAGTATACATCCAGAAAACCACAATTAACACCAAGAGACCCAATCTCCCGTGAACTGTTACACCATCTTTGAATCCATTTATCTTCCTGGCATGCACAGTCCCCGGCAGCGGTAAGCTCACAAGGTAATAATGCACTGTGTGAAAAATAAAAACTTTTGTTTATTTTAAACGATCATTTCATCAGATGCCTCCTACTTCTTATATTGTGGGAAATAAGAATTCCCTAGTGCCCTTTTCTACTCCATTCATGATTTCATAGATTTCTATTGTATTCCCACGTCAAACATAATTTTCCAGCTGAATACTCCTATTCTATTTAGTCCTTCCTTGAGCAGAAGCCAGCTCCTCAATCCAATCAGCCTCCTTACTTTTTTTCAGTTTTACTTTCTACTTTCTTTTTTTTTTTTTTTCTTAAATACAATAAAAAGCCCTTTTTAATCCCAGCAGAAGTCTGAAAAAATGTAAGGGCCTATTGATAACCAAAGAAAATTCTTTCCCTGCATGGCCACCAGACTTCTTCACAATTACGTCTGTTAACATTTGCAATTTGGAGAGTTTTAAATTACTCTGAGGTAGAGGCCAAATGAAGGCAATTAAGTAATCCAAGCTCCATCCTTTCCTAAAGCCCTGAGGATTAAAACTATACAACAGAGCGTTGTGATATATTTTGGATTGTTTAAAGTAAAAGCAAACCAGCTTTTATTTAAGGACAAAGTATATGCCATACTCACCACATCAGGTAGGATGTAAAAATCAGGAAAACTATGATGAGGAACCCACCAGCTGATACTCCGTATACCCACATCTTCAGTTTACCATCTGTTGGAAGATGAGGAAAAAGGACAGAGGGAGAAAAGGGGAGAATAAAAAACTTTATTTGAAAATTCACAAATTCATAAGAGATTAAATAAAGAGAAGGCACACAAGAAAAAATAGTAGCATCGCTGATGGGAACACAGTAAGGACTGGTTGTGAATAATCTACCAACCCCACATTTTGACAGAAAAAAAAAGGATTCCTGTAAAAATCAATTGTTTTAAAGACAAAATCTTATCTCTGGTAAGGAGTGTAGATTTTCCTCAATAAAAACTGAAAATGAACACTTTGTCTCAGTTTTCCAAGGCAGCATTATTTCATGACCTCCCCTCTGGCCGAGCTCCTGCAGCTCGTTACGGGCAGCCCGGGCTTATGGTGCAGCAGAAGAAATACCACCCGGCCAGGGTCCTGCCCATGGGAAGGAGCAGGGGCACAAGTGGGGCAGGGACAGGCAGCAGCCCTGCCTGCAAAAGGTGTTTCCCGGGCAGAAGACTTCCCGCAGCAGGCAGCTTTGCAGCAGGAGGTGGTGAGAAGACTGCGTAGCATCGGGGAGGCTGAGGAGGAGTTAGAGAGCTGGACCCACAGCCCATGGCCACACAGCCAAAATCTCCCTCACCAGTGCACACGGGAGGGAGCAGGGTCAATCGTATGGAAAGATGGAAGCTTGCAATGTTCAGGACCCATGGGAGGAAGGGGGTTCCCCAAAGTCTGAGGTGCCTTTGCAGAACTGCTTCACTGAAGCTGAAGAGGAAAGACCCGTCACATCAGGAGAGACGCCGGAGCTGAGCGCGGCAGCCCGACCTGCTCCCCGTGTAAGAACCAGCCCGACTGAGGAAAGGCAACGGGTGACAGGGGGAGGTGACTCTTCTGAGAGGTATGGAGACACCATCTCCAACCCGACGCACTCTCTAGAGATGGGTGCTGCTTACCGGGGGCTCGGGTCAGGGACGTTACCAGGAGAGCACCGAACCTCGTACACTCAACTATTATCTGCTGCTGTTGTTTCATGTGGGCACCAGTGACACAGCCAGGAGCAGTCTGAGGAGTATCAAGGAGGGCTACAGAGCCCTGGGAGAGGCAGTGAGGGACTCCGGAGGGCAGGTAGTTTTTTTCACCAAGCCTCCAAGTCAAAGGGAAGGGGTGTGAAAGGACCAGTTGAATCAACAGTTGGTTACTGGACTGGTGCAACAGCCAGGGGTTCAGCCACTTAGACCATGGGACTTGCTTTGAGAAACCTGGTCTGCTGGGCGCTGATGGGCTCCATCTGTCAGGGAAGGGGAAGAGCATCTTTGGTCACAGGCTCGCCAAGCAGGGCTTTACATTAAAGTTGCTGGGGGAGGGGCACCCCAACCCTTTGCACTCCTACCAGCTTGATGCCAAGTGTCAGCAGGAGAGCACTGGAAGAGCAGCACAAAGGAATTCCAGCAGAGCCCAGAGCAGCTGTGGGTGCCCCCTCCCTGGAAGGGTTCAAGGCCAGGTTGGACAGGGCTGGGAGCACCCTGGGCTGGGGGAAGGGGGCCCTGCCCGGGGCAGGGGGGTTGGGACTGTATCATCTTTAAGGTCCCTTCCAACCCAAACCATTCTATGATTCTATGATAACTGCAGTACATTTGCTCAGGAGGCCCACTGGCTGCTCTGGCAAAGGCAGTTCAATGTTTAGCTGACCCAGACAGAAATGCAGGTAACACCTGCTACGTTTAGCCTAAAGGAAAGAGGACTGAGAAGGGATAGGATTGTTCTCTGTAAATACTTGGAGGTCAACTGGGGTAAACACCAGCAAGCACAAGTGAACAAGCTACTTAGAGCTGAAAAACACTTGGGCAACAAATGGGAATAAAGTCGGCTTAGAACAAAAACAAGAACACACTTTGTAATAGCAAGAGGGATAAAGTTGTGCAACAGCTTTCTAGTTGGGCCACAGGAGCAGGAGACATAGCTGGCTTTAAGCCGAGGCAAGGCTCTTGGTAGGACTGTTTGGGTTGCAACAACAGGGGACCCACTCTGCAACCTTCGCAGGAATCCCTGCAAGCATAAATGAGCTTCAGTGTGTTGAAACATTTCCTTCTGATAGAAAGTCTCAAAACGATTTATTTGGACAGGTCCTTAATTACAAGCTATGCATTAATAATAATAATTTTTAAAAGATCAATATTTCTGTTTCTTGCTCTGTTCTGGCTGTACAGCTTTCCTTGTGGGCAGGAGTGATAGTGTTTTTTTCATGCAGCAGTAGTCTGAGCTGATTCAAATCAACAGAGCTGTTAATACATATTGGAGGCAGGAATACGAACCGGCACCATGCCCACAGACACAGTTTGACAGAGGCCATTTCAAACTCAGTCATGTGAGTGAGGAGTTACTTCACGAACAATCACCGAGCCTGTTTTACATTTTATGTTTGAATGACGAATTTTTTCAAAGCGAAACATATTTAATCAGATCCCATTCTTTGTCTTTTTTCTTCCAGGCTTTGTGGAAAGGCTGAGTACTGCTCACAGATTTTTCTCTTCTCGAAACCCTTACACACTATCTCCCATGTGAGAGGGGCTTTGCTTGTCAGGTCTGAGTAGGTTGTTGGAGCTTTTTTGGCTGAAGTCTGGGTATAAAATTTGTCACCCTCTCAACTGGAGATGGCCAAAAACCATGTAACAGTCCTGCAAAGGGACTTTCACAGCCACAAAAAGGCATCCCACCATGTCTGCTACGAAGGCAGCCATGTTCTCCATCCTTAACATAAAGGCGTTAGACCATGTCACCCTACAATTTAAACAATGCTATTTAAATTGCTTCTCAACTTGAGAAAAGTTCCTGAACTCTGGCCTCCCAGAGTGTGGTAAAGAAAGGAAAAACACAGCCTGACTCGAAATCAGTTCTATGCACTCCTGCAGAGCATTTAAAAGAACAAAACCATCAGCCTCATTAAATCATAATAAAATTTGTGTTCCAAACTGTAAATGGGAAGGAAAATCACAAATTAACTGCAGAACAGCACGTATACTTTTACTGACAGATATAAGTCCTTAGACATACACAAATGTCAAGGACTATGGTACTGAAGGGCGGTAAATGCCATCCATACAGGGAGCATTCACCATCGACCTGCTATCAAGAGCATAACTGGTAGGTAACAGCCGTTTCCTGGCTCAGCTAGCAGTAATTATTGCAAACCCCCAGACTAGTAAGCCTGAGAGCCTGTTTAAGGGGAGTAATTACATATTTTGTGAAGAAGTTAGACAAAGGGGAGTGATTTGAAGAGCACCAGCCTTAAGCTGGGGTCTGAAGGGCACATACAGACTGAAGAGTTACCTGCAGGATGCCATGGGGTTGGTGATACACTTAGCACACATGGAGCACATTTATTCCTTTCCCATACATTGTTTCTATAACATTTCTGCCCTAAAATTAAATAACACCATGTTCTGTAAGCTCCTTAGTCCCTATGTCTGTCTTGTAGTCCCTGGGGGAGAACTGGATCACAGATGCTGCACTGAGGTCAAGCCCACCAGAAGCTTTCAGGGCTGCAGCCTTGAATGCTGATTTAAAAAGAGAGGATTGCAGCATCCACCTACGCCTCTCTCCCTTTTTCTAATCCCGTAAAGGTACCAGCTGAAGAGATGACACTGAAGTAAGACAGCCTACAGAGGCCCACGAATGCTGACAAAAAGGCAATTAACCCCAAACCTGTGACTCAAACTGCTGTTGAACTGCGTAGGCTTCTGGCTGATGGGTTTGATCGAAAATCAGCCAACTTTAAAAGGCTTTGGGCTGAGCTCTATGAGCTTGGAGACTGTCAATGCAAAGGTTAACTACTGTATGCAAATCAAATATGTAAATGTAACATTCAAAGTGTGATCACATATATCAGACAGAATTATGACTCCCTGAATCCCGTAACAGAATCTTTCGTTACATGTTTTCTAAAGTCTCGTGTTCATTACAAACTAAGAGGAAACAAATGCAACGCCAGGTAACAGAAGAGGGGGAAGACTGAAAGCCCAGTATTTTAGAATATGGGGAGAACTAACACATTTCAGTAAAGCTTGACGTGTCTGACACCTTTGTCTCCCATTTTAAAGTCCCATTTGCATTTTAGAAATTTATTTTGAATATATTAATCTCACAAAATAACAGTCAAAATGGTAATCAGCTGTTACAGCTACAGCACCATTCCTGTGTACCAGTCTGGTCACAGCCAGTACGTGATTCTAACAGGGAAGCATTTTATGGTGTGGAAGTCAAAGATCTGCTTGGGATGCACTGCTTGGGCACCGCAGCTTGCCTGCTTTTTGTGGGGCATTTTTTAATGTCTTAACTTCAACACTTAAAACTCCAAACCCTATGCTTTCTACCCTGTTTTTGTTCATATACTTTTGAAATATGACAAGAAACAACCAATGTTTTCTTTAATGAAATCTTAAGTACTTTCTGCTCTGAATCTTCTGAAGTGCTAGTGATCAATATCTTTTCTGGTCCAAACATATTACTACTAGAAACATCATCAGATAATAATTCTAAGCATCCCCCCAAATCATATATGAGTATACTTTTGCAAAATATTATTGCTTCAGTCTGTCTCTGCTATCTCTCAACATAAGAGATTGTGATTACTCTGTAGAAGCACAAAGGAATGAAAGATGGCATGCAACTTAGAAACTGGGAGGCTGCTCTGCAGCTCCCAGACACAATCTCTGATGTTATGATCTACAAAGCTTGTACATTTCTTCTACAGAAACATTGTAAAGACAATTTATTCCATTCATATTTAAGTTTTTCACCTGGATTAAAAGGTTGAATAGACCATCCTTTGAAAATGTCATGCATTTTTGAGTTGACAGGTTTATTTTTTCCAGCAATGGTCTTAACATCAGCTTTCTTATCTTCTAAACCTGGTACCTTCATGCAGTAATCCAGGAAACCATTTGATCTCATTATTTCTGTATATCCTCGCACACAACCGCAGACTCCTCTCTAGGCGATAAAAGGAAATTCAGTATTAAACCAGATAGCATCCTCTCCGAGGACAGTGCAAATTGTAGGCAATTTATGAAGAAAATGCAAGATATATCCTGCACATGCACCACCAAACCAAACATGCTAGGAGCTGGTGCCTGCAAATCTATTTGTTAAAAAAAAAAAGAAGCAAACAAACAAAAAAAAAAAACAACAAAAAACCAAAATATACTTGGGGAATTGGTTGAAAAAGAGTCAGTAATTATGAAGAAGCCTAACATAAAAACATTTGCATCCCAGAAGGCTTAGTAACAGGCATACAAACGCCTCCTGTCAGAAACCATTTTCCCACTGATCCTGTTGGACCTTGTAAGAGATGAACAAGAAACAATTGCACTTCAGACCCAAACTCTCCCCATGACTTTCCACTCTGGTATTTCACAGGGCTACTTGAAAGGAAGTTTTCTTTCTTATGGACAAATATCCACTGCCCTGGATCAGTCTAAGCAGTTTCTTCAAGAGGTTTCTTAAAAGTCTATGGTTTACTAAATAGATACTCAATTTTCTGTGTTTCTACTTTAAAACAGCTTTTAAAGATTGTTTTTCTTTGCTAGTTATCTTATAATTACAATGCCTGTCTGAGGGTCTGATACCCTCAGTTATGATCCAAACTGGAGATTGATCTACAGTCCATGATAAGAATTTAACTCTTGACATAAGTTTTGTTGCCACAACATCCCCTATTTGTTGACAGACATGATCTTGAGCTTTTCTGGACAAAAGACTAAGTCTCAAGAGTTTTTATAGCTAGTAAATTCATGCTTATCCATTATTTTTATGTTCCTATATGCTCTGAGCACTCTCATGACCACCCTCTCAGCCACATTCAATTGCCCATGAGCTAGTTTCCAATGGTAATTCCTCTCACCAGATACTCATCTGAAGCTGAGAGCTGTGGAGGCCATTTTCAAAATATAAATATGTAAACCCCAACTGTCTCTGGCACTTTAAGTGTTCTGGGTTTTACACTCCATCACAGTACCGACACAGATAAGACATTTTGGGAAACTCTTACTGTGGAGTTTGGCACTGCAGGAAAGGACGTTTGTAACCTCTGGGCTCATGTTTGCTCAGAGACAAAGAATTGGCGGTGGCTCAAATACTCAGAAGGTTACTCGACATTTCAGCAAAAAAGGTCACTTCCAGGTTTTGCTTTAGAAGGCAGTATGGGATCACATGCTACAGCTTTCCTATGCTCAGGGGAGCTTTCTCTGTCCATGGAGGAGTAGGAGAAGACATACTCTTTTATCTCCTCTTTTACAGAAGTTTTAAACAGTCCATTTTCTACTGGATGATACAATAGCATTCAGTGAAAGTTAAACCAAGATGATCCAAAACCCCTCCACAGAACAAAACCAAACTTGTATCACTACATACATACTCCATCATGTGTTTGTGCAGGTTTATGGTTTCCTTTCAGACTGAAATTCCCACAACTTCCTCGAGGTGGTACCATGGACACACTAAACTATTTTCTAGATCGTGGAATGTCTTTCAAGATACAGAAGCTAATTAAATAGATTTTGCGGTGTTAATTTCTCAACCATATTCTGCAGTGAGCAATTACCTGTGTGCAGTAGGAGAACGGCTTTCTGCACGCCGGGCTGCAGTGCCGAACTTCTGCAGGTTTTGTCCGAAGAGCACACCCTCCTGTAAAAGAAAATACTGATTGTGTTCAAGGGCATGTTTTAAAATGTTTTTGACTTGGATCACCATAATATAAGGAGTACTTGCTTGCTTACTTCATATAGTTAAATACTATTCTATTGAGCACATTAGCATAATATCTGTAGGCATTGCAGTAATTAATTTGCCTTAACAAGGCAGGGAATTATTATCATACCCATCTTGTTAATGGAGAACAGAGATATACAGATTTAAGCAATTTGCCACAGGCCACATAGGAAGTTGGGCACAGAATCGGGAATGAGATGCAGATCTTCTGTGTCCTCATTAATGTCTTATCTACATAAGAAGACATAATCCACATAACGCTTTTGCCCATCCTCACCTGGGGAAGTCTGTGCTTCCATAGGAATAAAAAACATTTTAATGAGTTCTTAACTACTTGGCAACCTTTGCACATAAAACTTCTGTTATTATCTTGACTAGTCATTATAAATAGAACTAGATAAGAGCATCTGCATTTTCGTTTCTACTCTCTCCTCGTTCACCCTGTGCATATCGAGGTAGGTCCTATGGATGTGCAAGCCCTACCGCCTTTGCTAATCTCTCATGGAGCTTCAAAGTGCTGACCATGAATTTCCCTTTTCCTCCTGTGCAGGTAGAATTTGTAGGTCATGACAAAGAGGAATCTCACAGTTTGAGTGATCTGAGGTTCCTGTGTGCTGAATAGAAGAGGTACAGGAGCTGTGCTCTCTACCATGCCTGTGATGTTCTCTTCTGTTCCCCACAGTTACAGGAAGGTTGCACTAATGGCTGTGCAAGCCAGCCCAGGCAGCTCTTTTAGTACATGTACACTCATTTCTTCCTGTGACCCACCCAAGAGTAAGGGTAACTCGCCCAAATACTCTCATGTAATGACATGCATGATGTTGACCTGACGGCAAGGCTGGTGATCTCCCATCTGCCTTTCCTACACACAAATCTGAACTGAAATTTTGGAGGAGTTAGGAAGGATGTCCAACTTCCCTCTGAGCAACCGATGCAGAAGAAAGGCCTGGAGGGAGACTTTTTGCATGGCAATTTCTGGATATACCTGTGACATTTATTCCATCTGAGCGCTGACACCACACTGTGCGTACGTTCTCTCGCCAAAGGCTGGTTTTCCACAGGTAGTCATAACACCTCCCTCCTGCAATATCAATACCAGTTAGTCTTCACCTTGCAACAAAACCAGAATAAACGCTTGAATGGGAGGAAGCAGCACTGGGGCCACACTACCTGAGCAAGGCCGTGTTTCCATCGCTTGTCCAGAGCAGCTCTCCTGGTTCTCAGGAGACTCAACAATAAACGCCCTGGACCGAGACTGGCGCCCCATTGTCTCGAAGCTCCTGCCATTGATGCAGGTGAGCTCACAGGAGCTCCATTCTGACCACTCTGTCAGGTGGCAGTCACCTGCACGGTGAAAGAATAAATCACAGGTTTTCAAAAGGAATCGGCCTTAAAGGATAAGGACAACCTAAGCATACAACAGCTTTAATAGTGAAATACCCACAGTTTATCGCCCAGTGGTATGCAATATTCAGATTTTCTGCTTCATGGGGAATCTCATTTTCTCAAAAAAACAAAAGAAATTTTCTCAGCTGATCTAGAAACGGCAGACTGAGCATTTATCTGAGCTGCTGAAGTACAAATTCTTACTACAATGGCTGACAGTACTCAGAGCTATGTAAGCATCTCCATCTCAGACAGCTATCACAGGCAGAAATACACCGTGACTTTCCAAAGACTTTACCTGGGCAAGGCACAGAGCACGGTAACTGCAGCACACTCTCTGTTGGTGGCAGCTCACCACATAACACATTTTCTACTGGTTTGGATGTAGCAGACACAGATGCATCGTGCACTACACACGTGAGGTTGCGAACTTGCAATCCATCTCCACACTGTCCACCCTATGAAATGACAGAAGGGAACAGACACACGCATCACTGATGTTAGATAACAGAAGAAATACAGTTGATTCCACCCCAAAAGATTTCAAAAATACAAATTTGGTCTTTTGACTGTAATTGTATCCCCATTTATGGGAAGACAGATGGTGATGTCCCCTGTATACATCTCTACAGAAGCTCAGAGGCAGGGGCAGAGCCAGACAGCGAAGTAACCAGAGCTGGAGAATAGGTAGGTACAATAAAAGATGAATACCATGTTTGGGGTCAGCCCTTCATGCTTTTTACTAGAGCTAGTGAATTAACTGATTCTTAGTTAGTGCCCAGTTACATGAAAACAGAAATTTTTGGCCTCTCTAAAGAGGCCAAGAGCAGCGTCTGCCCATAAAGAACATTTCCACTCATCTCATCTGACAATACAGCCCAAGAGGAGTGCTTAGATGGTTTAAACTTTGCAGAAATCCTCCTGCACACTTAGATTGAAAGGGTTATTGCGCACTAGGCTGCCTGTGTAATTTACTAAAGGGAGCTAGTGGCTCTGGAGGAGACAGAGAATCAGCAACTTGTGTCACATACTCTACCAAGACATCACCCAAAGTTGGTCATCACTTGTTAGCACTGGACCCCATTGGAAGAAGCGATAGGAGGCTCCGTCTGAGCCACTCCATGATCATCATCCCAGTTCTGAAATAGTCATACAGCAAAATACTTGCTGAAGACTTCCTTTACTGAAAAATCAATATTGTTTGGGTAAAGTGATGATCGAGGGCCGAGGATGCTGTAAGAGCTGAAGCACTGAGGCTGTTTTAGAGTCTGGTATTGTTTCATTCTCATCTGAAAAACAGTGCTGCAACGATGTTTGAGGTGCACACCTTAAACCTGCACGGTGCTTTATGAACGTGTGCCTGAAGCCCTGTGGAAATGGCACTTTACAAAAATCAGTGAATAAAACTCATGAAGAAGGATGAAACATTGTTTTTATATAACCAAGGAAAGTGCTCCTTTGGATCACTTGGCAGTGGATTCTTTTAAAATAATGGACTTCATCTGCAGAACAGAATGGCTCCTACTGAGTGCATTCATTCAGCAGCAGGTTTGCTAGCAGGAATCTCAAGAATGCCTCTCCTGCACACACCTGGTAGCTTTTTCACTCTCTCCATCCCTTCTGTTTCAGACCCACAATGAAATGGAAGTAAGAGCATAACTAGCTGGATTTAGAGCAGATGCTAATCAAAAGCATCTTAGCGAATACTAGTGTAGATTTACTATATGCAGCCAGATTTCAAGTTTTTAACAACATGTTTCACTTTAGTCAGTGTGTAACTTACTGTTCTAAATTACTGTTTCACCGCTGAAACCTCTATTGCGGTCTGAGATTAATGGTGTGTGAATAACTCATGCAGCTGTCAATTGGGTTAGAGCTCTTAGAAATGGCTGGTGGAAACAGAAGACTATGTGGAGAAAATTCTCGGAGGAAATGGGCACTAATCAAACTGCTGTGTATTTCCAGCTTAAAGTGGCTCAAGGAATGACTAAATGACTGGAGAGGACAATAACAGTTTTTAAAAAGACACTTATTCTTCTATAAACAAGTATTTATGTACCTACCAATATATAAATACCTATATGAATACCGAGATATAAATCTAAATAAATGAAAACAATCCATTTTTTAGTACAGCAGTCTCCGCTATAAAAGTTCACATGCAACATTCTTCATTCTTATGTGATGCAATATTGGAAATACATTCATACTTTCCAATGTTTAGAATAAAAAAAATAAATAGAAACCAGGAACTTTCAAACAATCCCAGTGATAAAGGTTTGCTTTTTAACAGTGACTTCCATTTGCTTGCTTGCTTTCAAGACCAGCAATGTGTTTTCACAATCAACTGAACACATTTAAAAGATAAAATGTCATCCTGTCATTTACAGTAAGAGATGATTTTGGTATATTTGGTAAGGTCATAAGCAACGCAAGAGCACTGCATTAACTTCCTTATCATCTTCAAAATTATTCATGTCCCCAAAATAATACATTTGAAGATCTAATTAACAGGTGTGGAATCCGTGGAAGTCAGCTGCACACTGAGGATGCAGGGAATAGCTGCTAATCAGAGAACTGCCAAGGAAATGCTCACATATTCAAAACTCAGGGGATCAAAACTGTATTGTAAATGCTCTTCCTTGGAAGATGTGATCATCTGAGGTTTGTCTAGAACCTGGATTTGCCTCTTGAGTCACAAGCTCCTTGCAGGAAATACGCAGGGATTTGACTTCCAGAGGGGATCCCTCCCATTTGGCTGCAAAAATTTCTACACCGACCCTATGGAGGATGCAGGACTCACCCTGGGCTCCTTAAATACAGCCTGGGGGTACAGGCACCTCCACGAGCACCTACACGGAGTCTCTGTCCCTGACCTCCCTCACCCCAACTGACCACCTATAAAATAAGGAGAAGGTTTACACCAGGACTGCGTTTTGACAGCCGGGTATCTTCTGAATTGACCAACACGCTAACATAAGGCAGCATCTGCCCAAACCTTCTCTCACTTCATCCTCCGACACTTTACACATATAACACACTAATAAGACAAGAGATAACAGTCCTAATGAGATGCTTTGCCCAGACTTGCCTTTAAGAAAATTTTTCCCTTTTCAGCTTTTACTGTGGTTCATGTGTGTTCACAATTCTTTTAGGTAAAGAGTCGATTGGGCAATGCTTTCATGAGTTGATGAGCATTTAATCAGGTAAAAAATTTCTCTAATGAGGAAGCGTTGCATGATCACATTTAAGGGAGTACTTTTAAAACATGTTAGAAAAGGGGGTTCTTAGTCTTCTTATGAATGTTAGGCAGCCAGTGCTTGATAATGTTTAGCTACTTCAGTTGTATTCCTTTAATGGAAAAATTATGAACAGTGCCAGCCACTTCTAATTTATATATTTTTTTTTAAGCTAATCAGGGTAAACCACTTCAACTCCAGTAGGAAAATGATTAATGTAATGTAACCCTTTAAATTAGGTGTACTGACCATTTCCCAAGTTCTGCATCCCTCTGAAGGAAGCAGCAATGCTCCACACCTGCCGTAGGTGTGCCTGTGACGTGTAATTACCTGGAGAGCAACGCGCTACTTTCCATACTGTGAAAATCAGCAATACAGAACACCTAGCAGGCTCTATCCCTAAACACGCAGACACCTCCAATTATTCACATGAAGTCAATTTAGTATAAAATAGTCCTTCTACAATTAAGAAATGCAGTCTCAGTTATCTCATAATACAAGGAAAAAAATTTAGCTTTATAATTAATTTTCCTGTTTATATTATTACAGAAAAACACTTTCACAATATGCATTTTGGTCTTACTGTAGGATGCATTTACTTTGTTTCACAAAGCATCCTTGAAAGCAGGACTTCTGAAAGCTTTCTTTAGAAAGTAAGCTTAAGCTTCTTTTCCAGTAAAGCACAGGAATAAATCACCCTGTATTTATGAACTACATTTAATTCCTAAGCACCTCATTAAAGAGAACTGAACACGAATAAAATGGCTCCTCTCCAAAACAAAGCAAAGGGTAGAGAAACTACATTGCGGTAATTTAAGGAGAGAAGCAGGCTCTATCTCACTGAAAGTGCAGGATATCTGGGTTAGGGAAGGCTGTGATTACTTGCTCTGAGCTGAAATTTATCTGGGTTCTGGATGCACACACTTTTAATCTGCACAATATGTTATTTATCTGGAGTATGCCAGGGTGCTAATTTAGCTTCCGCACTAATTCTTTTATCAGCTGTGTTAGCTCCTACAGTTGAAGGTCTCTTCCCTAATGTTTAACAGAATTTGCTTACGTTAGCTGGACAAAATATCAGCTGATGTTGTAATTTTGTTATATTTATGTCATACATATATACATACTGAGAGCAATACATACAAGGACTGTATTCACATCCCTAGTTGCAATGAGTTATTCATTATATAAAATATAAATACATGTCTGTTTCTCTGATCTTAGACTGTCCAAAGACTGTCACGCTCCAGATTTCTTTTGTGAAAACCTGGGAAAATTCCGGGTATTTATTCTGCCACCCACAGTATTTGCTACACATCCATCCACTGCATCTAGAAACCACGTAGGTATTCAAGGCGTTCAGAGCATGGTAGAGGGAAGAGTAGAAAATGCAAGGGATGTGTCTTTACACACATTATTGGCTTCAGTCTCCTACATGGTATAATGTGGAGAAGCAGCTACAGATCCATGCACAGGTTCTGTCCCCTGGGACCAGACCCGGCTCTCGTCCACCCCAACCACACTTCAGCCACCACCATCTCAGCAAAGCCGGCTTGGAGCAGCCCGAGCAGGCTTCACTGCCCGAGAGACCTCACTGTGGAAGATTCACCTCTGCTTAAGCTGGGTTACCAACTAATATGTTTTAATATCGGAATTGTGATCTAACAGATAAAGAGAGAAGAAAAAGCATAGAGAGGGGAAAAAAAGTCAATTCAAGCCTGATGCGAGTCACTGGCAGTGAAAAAATGACAGCTCCTGGGCCGAGCAGAGGTGCCAAGCATAGGTACAGCACATCACAACTGAATCCAGCCATTTTTAGATCATTAAAAAGATAGCTAGGCTAAGGAGAAAGTAGAAATCAGCACTTCATACAATAACTCACAGTATTGTACTGGAGACCTTGAGGGGAAAAGACCTTCTATACAGTACTTAAAAAAAAAGGAAAAAAGAAAAAAAAAAAAAGGAAAGAAAAGAGATAAAAAAGTCTAAACTCTCTTGAAATCTAGCAAATCTATTTTCTTGTTAAGAGTTATTTCATATAATGAAATTATAGCCCACCATGACTATGCCCACTCAAGCACATTTACTCAGTAAATCTCCTTTAATACCTTCCTAAGCTCAAGGTACTTGAACCTATATATAAATCGCTGCTGACGGCTGAAAGATGAGGTGCAGAGGTTTACCACTCCTGAACTTCCCCTGCTTTCCTACGGCTCTTACCAGCACCCTTCAATGGCCACAGAGCCACCTCCAACCTCAATCCATTCTGCCACCTAAGGGTGGGTTCTGCCGTCGCGCCCGGCCGCGGGGAGCCCCCGAGAAAAGCCGTACCTGGAGCCTGCAGGGAGACCAGGGGCCCAGCAGCCAGCTGTAGCAGGGCTTCACCGGGCAGCTCCTGTGCTGGGTGAGCTGCTGCGGGCAGGGCCGGCCCTCGCCCGCTGCCCGCAGGACCACCGAGCGCCCACGCACCATCTGGCCTAGGCGAGGGGAGAAGACAGGACACGGTGAAGGAGACCCGGAGCAAGGATGCAAGGAAAGGAAGGAAGGAAGGAAAGGAAGGAAGGAAAGGAAGGAAGGAAAGGAAGGAAGGAAAGGAAGGAAGGAAAGGAAGGAAAGGAAGGAAGGAAAGGAAGGAAGGAAAGGAAGGAAGGAAGGAAGGAAGGAAGGAAGGAAGGAAGGAAGGAAGGAAGGAAGGAAGGAAGGAAGGAAGGAAGGAAGGAAGGAAGGAAGGAAGGAAGGAAGGAAGGAAGGAAGGAAGGAAGGAAGGAAGGAAGGAAGGAAGGAAGGAAGGAAGGAAGGAAGGAAGGAAGGAAGGAAGGAAGGAAGGAAGGAAGGAAGGAAGGAAGGAAGGAAGGAAGGAAGGAAGGAAGGAAGGAAGGAAGGAAGGAAGGAAGGAAGGAAGGAAGGAAGGAAGGAAGGAAGGAAGGAAGGAAGGAAGGAAGGAAGGAAGGAAGGAAGGAAGGAAGGAAGGAAGGAAGGAAGGAAGGAAGGAAGGAAGGAAGGAAGGAAGGAAGGAAGGAAGGAAGGAAGGAAGGAAGGAAGGAAGGAAGGAAGGAAGGAAGGAAGGAAGGAAGGAAGGAAGGAAGGAAGGAAGGAAGGAAGGAAGGAAGGAAGGAAGGAAGGAAGGAAGGAAGGAAGGAAGGAAGGAAGGAAGGAAGGAAGGAAGGAAGGAAGGAAGGAAGGAAGGAAGGAAGAAAGGAAGAAAGCAAGGAAGGAAGAAAGCAAGGAAGGAAGAAAGCAAGGAAGCAAGGAAGGAAGAAAGCAAGGAAGGAAGAAAGCAAGGAAGGAAGAAAGCAAGAAAGCAAGAAAGCAAGGAAGCAAGGAAGGAAGAAAGCAAGGAAGGAAGAAAGCAAGGAAGGAAGAAAGCAAGAAAGCAAGGAAGGAAGGAAGGAAGAAAGCAAGGAAGGAAGAAAGCAAGAAAGGAAGAAAGCAAGAAAGGAAGAAAGCAAGGAAGGAAGAAAGCAAGGAAGAAAGAAAGGCAGATTTTGGCATTTATCAGTATTCCCAGTACATTTTCCACCACTAAAACATGTTAAAAAAAGCAATTAGTTGGGAAGACTATTGGGTAATACAGGTTCAATTGCTAAGTCGAAGTGATGCAGTCACCGGTAATTTCAAATGCAGTTTCTAAATATGGTTTTGTATGTTTTCCAAATATATTATTTGTTTATGCAACACATTTAAATACTTGACTAAATCCTGATTATTAAAGATGACAAGAAAATAATTCCTATGGCAGCATCGATTCTAACGTTACACATTCAATATGTTTCCAGTGATTTTTAACAAATGAAATTTTCTTTTTATGAGCAATTATGTGCATCTAATTTGAAAACTGCAAACACTCTAGCGTCTATTACTGTCCATAACCACTTCTGCCATTTCCATTAGAATCCTATTTATTATTGGTGAAAACTTCTTCAGTCACTGAATGGAAAATGCAATTATATTACTACTTTTGAAATAACAAAACTGAATATATTCATTAAAGTTACAGCAATTCCATTTCCGTCTCCTTTGCTGTCCATTTACATCCAGGAATGTTTTCACTCAAAATGTTTCAGTTAGAATCCCAGCTCCAATTAAAAGAAAATTGGGGAAAAAAAGCCCTTCTGCAAAGGGATGCAGAAGATTGTGCCGGGGATAAAATTTCTGCCTTGACTTTCAACAGGAGTGGATTTGAGAGGCAGTTAAAAAAATAAAACGTCTGGTTAATACGGGCACACACGTGCAACAAGACAGATGCAAGTGGTAATTGCTAACGCACTGAAAAGGAAAGAGGCAGCGTGTTGTGGTGGAGCTGCCCCAGTCGGATCGCAGCCGTCTCGCTGCAATCGTGAGTAGAGGGGGAGGCCGGGGGGGGAGCAAACACCCCTGCGAGGAGGGGAGGCTGCGATATCCAGCCAGATCCTTCTCCCAGATATTTATGCACACACTTTTTAATTAACGGTACTGCAGCTGGGTTTAAGGTACACCTCTAATAACTGTCACTGTGACTGTCTGTGGAGTAGGGTCTCCGAAAACATTTTAGTAAATAAAAATTAAAAGCAGGCACAACTGAAAAAGCTGCTGACGGATACCTTAGCAAGCTCTCTTACCTTTACAATGCTATTACCTTGCTCTGACCCATTGAATTCCATTTTTCAACCCATTTAAACCAATTTTAAGACTTCTTCTTTTTCCAATTCTAATCCTCTGGACCTGGGGAGTTTGTAACAGAAGTGATGATAAAAGCTCTTATCCACATGACTGTGCATTCAGCCATCACGGAATCAGATACATTTGGAGGTGGAAAAAAATCCTACCAGCTGGGAGGAAAGGAAAGGTAAGAAACCCCTGTGGTTCACCGGGGTCAGAGCAAGGGAACAGAAGCCCCCCAGCCCGCTGCCTACAAACCCTGCAGCAGCCCCCCCGCCCAACAGGCCAAAATCAGCCATTTCTTCCTCCCCAGCAAGGGACCAAATTTGCCGGGTTCTTCTTAATTCTGAATGTTGATGACTGGTAAGCAATGGAAAAGGGTCTTCGGGAAACCGTGGGAAGCCCGTGGCTGTGAGGTTTTTGGGATGCCTGGGGGCGGGTGGCTCACCCAGGCCAGGGAGCTCCGCGGCCCTGCCAGGCACGAGCTCCCAAAACCGCAGCTAGGGAAAAGGAGGTCTCCTGAGGTTGAGAGTGCTGTTTTCATTAGGAGGCACCTGAAAGCCTGAAGCATTCATTCAAGCTATTTCAATTAAAGAAATAATCTCCTTTCATTCATTCTGCTTAACATCTTTCTAGCAAAACGTAAATGGGAAGATCATTGAATAGAAAATACGATTTTCCTTTTAAGAATAATTAACAACCGTTCTGTAGTTATTTGTATTTTATTTTCCTATGATTGGTTATCCAAACCATTTAAACTCACTATAGTCACAATGGTCAGCTGGTGTTTGACTCATTTAGTCTATCACTTCCTTTTTATACTGTGAATAAATCATTGAAGAAAGAAATTTAATTGAAATCTTTCTTGCACAATCACTGCAGTCTGTTTCTTAAGTGCTGATTTTTTTTTTTTTTCTCACTCCACAAATATTATCTAGGTGCTCAGTTACCACTCTAGTAGAAGAAAAACACCCTGGTTTTACTTTGTGAGTATCTTACATTTTCCTGCCTATGGAGAACAGAGCCTCACTGCACCTGAAATTAATTTGCTTCCCATACAAACTCTGGAAGTGTTAAAGCAAACCTAGATATTTCTTTAATTTCCCAGTGAATTTTTCTTTAATTTCCCAGTGATTTGGCCACATCTCTGACTCCTCTGTGCTGCAGTGTTAAATGATGCAAAAATTAAGACAGAAAGTGTGCTGAAAAATGAAAATAAGTATTTTTTCATATCCTCAAATTTGTCATTAGTTTTGAAAGGGGAAAAGAAGAGGCTAGTCTTCTTAATTCTGGTCACTTAAAATTCTGGTTTGCATCAGCAGCTAAAATTTTATCCCAGAAACATAGGTTCATATTTTCAAATTGGAAAAATAAGATTTTTTTTATCCCCAAAAATGTGTGCCCGTTCCTTGCATTTTATCCCCACGAAGCGATGTATCGCAGCTGAAACCAAGATGATTAAAATTCCTGCTAGAGTTCATCCCAGTCAAAATTACTGACACGTCGTTATCTGTTCGATGAGCATGAGCAGAGCACATAAAACACAGCCCTATCAGGCAACCACAAGACTAGAATGGGGATCAAGTTTCTTAAATACAGCCCTGGGGATCAGGTTAGGTCAAGTCACAAGCAGATGGGACTGGTGATAAATGGGGCTTTTCATCTACTTCCCACTGCCAGTCCCTCCAGCAGGCACTGGGGCACCCACAGCTCAGGGAGAGGTTTCGGTGGCCCCTCTTCCAGCAACATCTCCCAGTACCATCGGACTGGAGCTTGCTGAGTTTGAGTGGCAAGCAAGAAAAAAATCACGGAAGTTTCTTCTTCAGAAGGCAAAACCAAAAACGTTTTCCCAAATTGGTGATGAGCCAGTGAAAAATGGAACCACGACCATTTACAGTCGTGCACATCCTTGTCCCCCTCAATTCTGTCCCGGGGTCAGTCTGGTGTTGGGGTGCACACCTCCACAACTCGCTACGGTCTCTTCTGGGCTCTGAGGACTGAGCCAGGCACAGCAGTGTGTTCAACCCTGGGTAACTCGGGTAAGTCCCACAATTTACCTGATGAAGTCAGCTTTATAAATGGTAAAGCATGGGTTTAGGTGACTTTACGCTATTTAGCACTCCTGTTAGACAAGTTCGGAGAAATCATATGAGATTGGAAAATGTTTATGTAGAAAAATTCAGCATCCTCGTGTATTCATTTACCTTAACAAAGAAAACACAATTTGCTGGGAATTATCCTTACCCAACATCTTTCCAGTAACTTTGATTCAGGTCGTGGGAGCACGATCCATTAAAGCAGCACTATACATCTTTTCATAGCAGTACAGAAACCGATATGAGGAACCCTAATATATAACCCAACATCAGCCTCAAGCCCTGGCCAGCATCCTGAACAGATGCTGCCCAGAACTACAGCTGCAACAGGCAAATATCAGTTACACATCTCCGTAGGCTCCACACAGGCAGGAAGGAGAGATCTACTTTACTCATCATCATTTATAAAAATCAATATATTCGCCTTTGGCTGCTGTGTACCAGAACCATATTAGCTGTCAGTGCCACATACACAGCAGCACCACTTCATGTTTAAATGCATTGTTCTATAAAATAAAACTTGAGCAAGAGAAAGGTACTATCCATTAAAATATATCACAGCAAACTGTTACTGGAAGAGATGGACAGAATAAAAATGTTAGCGACAATGCTTGAGTTAAGAAACACATGAAAGCATAAATCCAGCAACACTAAATTTTGATCTGAATTATATTTAAATTATGTTTTTCTTTGAAGCTGTTTATGGTACTTCAGCAGGCCCTTCACACGCACTCCAAGAAAAGCCAGAAAAGCAGAATATTATTGTGAGCAGATCCAGTAACGGTGCATGCAACTGATTTGTTGTGAATTATTTCTGAGAAGACTACAACTAAGTCCTACATTTTAGCTTTATCAAATAGCAGACAATTACTCATTTGGCAACGGGAAGCCCAATCAGTGTTTAGTACAGCCAATTCCCACAGCTCGTTTATTGTCATCCTTTGGTTTTCCCTGACTAATTTGAGACTTCATCCTATTCTCGCAAATGACTGTAACAAACTCATGATGATTTCAAAGGTATTGCAGTCTATGAACCTTCAGGTAGGAACCCCTCACTGTATTCATCTGTGAGGTACCATCTGTAGATGAGTACATAATTAATGTCATCTCTGTTAATACCATCATCAAGTAGTGTTTATAACCAGCTGGAACTCGGTGAAGAAGATGAAATGACGGTGTTTCAGCTGTTGGAACCACACAAAGGCTGCAGGACTGGTGCCAAGGTCCCTCCATCACGGTTGTGCGATACCAGTGTAGCTCCACACTTGATGGTTGCTGCAGCAAAACTCAGAGCAGGACTGGGGCTGCAGTAAAATAAACAATGCTCTCGGAAAAACTTGGATGCAAAGTACTTCTGTTTCATTGACACTCCTGCTTTGGGATGACATTCAGAAGACCCTTGGGTCCCTGCACAGCTATTCAAATTATAGAGAAGGACTAAGCAAAACTTTGCTTCTTTATGATACAATTTTTAAGATGGCTTTCCCAGCTGCTTAGCTGCTGTAGGTTCACAAAACAGTACCTCCAGCTTTTAAATCGTACACGTCTACGGCCTGAACTGTACCAGCCAGCTCTCCAGCCAGCAGTATAACAGAGTTATGACCTTTGAGGACCAGAAGATGACCCATGGACTGAGCTGAGTTTGGGCTTGACTGTGTGGTTCAACTAGCCTTAATGAGGTTTGGCACCTACAGCCAGGACACTCACGGGAAGGTCTGCTTCGGTAGGGCACGGATGTTTCCAGTTTCCCTCTGCAGAAGCCCAGCTTTGATTTAGGCCATGAAGTAACTGTTTGCTCCTTGCATGCACTGGCAACCATCAGGTCTTTGACCAGTCTTTAGGATTTGCATGAGCATTTCAGGATCTGGGGCAGAATGCTTGAGCTCAGGATGAAAAAACTTTTAGGCATTATACAGACTGATCTGCTCCTTTAGCATGCTAAAAGCCATAAAGGAGTTACAACCTGCTTTTGCACATATAGCTCTGTTTATTTTAGTAAGTGATTGAACACTCAAAAAAATAATTTAAGTCCATTCAGCAACATGAGCATTAACAGTCCAAAATGGATTTTGAAGAAAAAATAAAATTTGGAATTAATAGTATTCCTAGTGTGTTGTTGCTAAAACACTGTCCATGAATTATTCATTTCTGTTAAGAAAGCACTACTTTACAAAAGGGCTAAAAGCTCAGCAAAGAAAGAACACCACTAATCCAAATATTAAGCTTTTTCTGTAACATGCTTTGATCTCTGAAATCCATCTGAAGGAATCACTTTATGGAAGTTAAGAGCTTTTTTTCTTTTTGACCTTAATGAATTTGATTCAAATATACATTATGGCTCTTGAATCTTAAAGACCATTAGCTGTGTGTCTAATGCACATCAGAAGCCTGGGAAATAATGTCACAAGCTTATTTTGAATAAAAACTTCAATGCATTTCCTCATGTCAATATTCAAAGGGTTTATAATATCATAAAAAGTTTAAAAAGGTCCTAATCCTTTCACTTTTTTGTATGCTGGTGAGCACTACTGGCTATAGAAAACCTCACTGAAGTTACTGGAGTCACACAAGTATTAAGGGGCCTGTGGATACAAGATGGAGACAGAAGCATGTGCTAAATTATGAAAAATAGTGTTTTTTCTTCAATGGGATATAATTATGTTACTAAAAGTAACTTCACCAGAGGATCTGTATTTAGTTAATTAACTTTTTCTTAAGAGTCCTGTAACTCTCCCCAGCTCTTTGCTAGCGCTATATATTCCTCTTCTCTCAGGGGTTAATGTTTCCTGCAACTGAAACCTGATAGTTTGAATTAATAAAATAATCCTCCAGGAATCTGTCTGCTTGTTTCCTAAGTTGTATTTTTCACTTTATAGCACTTTGAAAACAACCTTCTTTTGTTCAAAAAACCCGGCACCTCAGGACCTCGAGTGTCCAAAATCACCTCCGAAGGGCTCGGTGCAGCTGGGGGAGACCTCCGGTCTCTGCTCCCCTGCTCGGGGGCTGTGTGAGCAAACACGGGGCTGGGGGTCCCCTCTGCCCTGCGTGGTTGAGGTGTGGGGGGGGGGCACAGGAGGAGACTCACCGCCGGTGCCACATGTGTGGGAGCACTGCGACCAGGCCGACCACGCCGAGAGCCGGCAGTCCACCGCGCACCCCACCACGCACCGGCTCCTCGTCGGCACGGGCTTCTCCAGGCGAAGCTGTGAGATGACAAGGAAACACAAGCGTCAGCCTCCCCAGGCCCCCGGCCCCCTCCTGCCGCAGCCGGCCACTGAAAAATGGCCGCAACCCCCGTGGGGCACCGGCATCGCCGCTTACGGGGAGTTTTCCCAAGGGTGCAACCGGTGATAGTGGTTTCAGCGTTGAGGCATTTCACGTCTAATTGTCCCTCAGTGTTTGGGTCTTACTCTGAAAGGACAATCCCCAAATCCTGGTAGGGCACGATGTCCCCGGTCACCAGCTTTGCTGGAGCCACTGGGATGGTGCAGGGTTGGCAGCCGTGCCCCACGCATTTTGAGTTGAGGAGCGATGCCACCCGGTAACGCCCCAGGGATGCTTTTGCTCCCCAAACCAGCACCGGAACACAACTTCTCCACCATCTACAGATGATGTCTTGGGGCGGATCAGAAGGCACCGGCTTTCTGGAAACAAGAGGAACCCCCTGGCCGTTCCCCGGCCCCCGTCGTGCACGCGCGTGTGCCGTCCTCACCCGCTGGCAGAGCTGCGTGCTGACGGTGGCCCCGTCGCTGCGCCGGCAGCTGAGGAGGCGGCGCCGCTCCCCGCGCCCGCAGGTGGCATTGGCACCCAGCTGGCACCCGCTCCAGCCTGCGACACAAAGCACAGGATCCAGGTCACGGCCCCCCAGTCCCGTTTTCACACCTTTTTTTTTTTTTTTTCAGGCGGCACCGCGGGTTTAGCTTCCCCTAGCGCCGGCGCTTCCCCGCGTCAGGGCAGCCCAACCCCAAGAATAACCCACACAAAAGAAAGTTGCTCTTAAAACCGAGCAAGTCTTGGAGGAGAAACCGCTTGCCTTTCACTCAGATATCCCCTTAATGAAACTGGTGCATCAGAGTGCACAAAAACTGTTAAACACTGATAAAGTGTATCAGTTCAACCCAGTTGGTGTGTTTACAAGACTGTATTGTCTGAAGTAAAATTTCACTTTGATAAAGTAGCTGGAAAAGTTTCTGAAGAGTAACTCTGGTTTAACCTATTTCATGTTCCAAGGCAAAGCTTTCCATTAATGAAAACTAAGCTCTAATACTCATGAAACAAAAACAGTATTTCTGGTAGAAGAGAATTCAGATCTTATTACTTGTCTGAAATTATGATGGTCAGAATACAACTAAACTGAAATAAGCCTTAAAACACCATTTAAAATGAGCAAAAAACATAAAGCAAACAACTAAAATTTCCATACGCCACCAACAAATAGGAAGCATATGAGAAGAAAACTTATTACTTTGTGTCTTCCACCTCTGATAAACATGAACATGCATTTCTGAAATGTGATGATAAAAAAGGCATCATCCTGCTGCCTGTGTTTCTAGGGCTTATTTCAAATGGGCTGAGTTTATATTCAGATATTTTATCCTGCTTTGTTCTCCTTTCCTATCAGCCCCCAAACTCCTCTTAGATCTCACCTAACTCTGCCTTTCTCACTTATCTGAGCTGGTCAAAACAAAAGGAATTTTTCCTTTTTTTTTTTTTTTTTTTATTTTTTTATTTTTTTGTTAGTTTGTTTGCAACAGATCTAAATTGCTTCTGAGGTCTTAAATAATGCATTTTGCTCTGAATATCCTATGCCCATTCACATAATCCATATTTGCCTTCAAACCAGCTTTTTGTTGGTATTATTGGCTTCTCCAGAATCACCCAGATGATACTCTTTTAACTGGAGTTTTGTAATTAATTCTGTTGCTAACCCACCAAAAAGAAGAGGTCCCATTTAGCCTGGTTTATTTCCAGTGTACCTGCAATGACAACTTAAATTAAAAATTGTGCATTTGTCCACTAACCTGTGGACACAAAAAAATGCAGGCATGTAATTAGTGAAATCAGTGATGTCTACACATAACTCTTTTAATGTCAAGGCTTTAACCAACACTACAAGCAAACATAACTAAAACACAACTGGAGAAAGCCAGTAAGGAGCTGAATCTTTTATGCAAAGATATTTGGAAAAGCAGCACATCAATTTCATATATGTCGTAACTTGTGTCACTGCCTGTTAAGAGCATATTAGAAAGTTATACCTACCTGTTAGATTGTACTGATATTGGAAGCAATTTTGGTTAAGAATACATGGCTTCATCTGTGAATCTTCAGGGCAGGGCTTTGTACTGACAGCAGACCTCAGCACTTGTCGAGTTCGGGTTTGCATAATATTCGGATCGCACACCTATATTCAAAAGTGATGGACAGTACAAGAGACCTGAGTAAATCATACAGACACCAACCGCCTGGGGTTGTTACATGCACATCCACGGCCATACCGAGCTACGATACAATCATGCTTCTGTTCTAAAGACAATTAAAAGCATAGGAAGGAAATGTGGTTCAAAGGTAAGAATCCAATATTACTAAAAGTCATCTTTCGTTCACCCTGATTCAGCTATTTTAGGCACTCCTACACTATTTATTTCCAAAAGGATAAAGACTGTGCCATTTTCCTGTGCTCTACTTACCACCTCTTTCCAAGACTTGCAGTAAAATGCCATTGTACTGAGTAATGGGACAGGATTTCTGGCACAGTTAATGTGTTTTTAAGTAATAACTGATGTTACAGCAAAGTTTTCATTTCTAGGAAGGACATTCATAATTGCATATCACTTATGATGATGATAACAAGATGGGGTGACCCTCCAAAGTATGCGATACAAATACTGATGTCCAGCTGCCTATAAACCAGGATTTGCTTGTTTACATTTTCACATGATTACGAACCAACTGAGGCCAGCCTTCATTTGTGTTTATGCATCACAGGCACAAAAACTGTTTGTTTTTAGCTGCTACCCATCCTCACTCTCTTAGCACTGTGGCATGGGGCTATTTTCCTTTCCATTTTGCTGCAGACTTAGCAACAGTGACTGAATGCTTTCAGCCTTGCAAGAAACATCCCCTTTAGGTAGAGGAAAGCACCTCCCCATCCCCACAAATCTCCTCCTGCAGCCTCCTGCTGCCTCCTGCTTACCCCTCCTCTGCAGTGCAAGAGAGCTCTGCTCTTTGGGTGTCACACGGAGGTGCCAGCTGGCTCTGCCTACGCCTTTCTTAAGTTTTTCCCTTGGTTTACTTAAATCGGGGCTATCGCATCGGCACTGGCTGGGCCATGGGGAACGCGGTGCTGCTGCCCCAACACTGGCTGTCGCATCCACGTCTCATGCCAAGGGGAACTATTTCAGGAGGAAAGAGTCGTGGCACCAAAGATTAAACGCCTGTGACACCAGGCAAAGCTAAGGTGAAGAGTACTAAGGATTGCTGCTTTGTCTCATTACGTGAAATCACAAAAACGTCTAAATAAGCTTATTCTGAAGCGCAGGTGATTACAGGAATATGTAATAGCCATTTCAGCTGCAAGACTGGGACAGAAAAGCAGCCCCAGGGGAAGGGACTCTGACCTGCTGAAACTCAGTAGAATTTTCCCACAATCCAGTACCGCAGGAATGGGTGCATGGAAATGGTTGCAGCAAACCTAATGGAAATAAATCCTTATTAAAGGTATTCACGGCCATTTACTGAACAAGATGACCTATTTAATTCTTAACAGTCTCTCATTAGGACTAAAGATTGCTCAGGAACTGCAAAGAAAGCCAAAAAATCAGTGTACGTAGAAGTAAGTTTTCATAAATGTTTGGGAATTTAAAACATGTTTTTTCTATAGAGTATTTTAACTACAAAAAATGACTAGCATTTTAAAACCTCAGGCTTATTATCATGCAATGAACTGCCTGAAAACACTGAACCCCGCACAGGTGAAAGTATGGATAATTCCTGTATTGTGAATATTAAAGAGAAATCTAATGGCATTGCAGCATAAATCTAAATCTCAGACTGCTGTAAACTGGATTAGTTGCACAGGTGATACCATAACAAAACAGAATAAATATCAGGACAAATAAGAAAAAAAGTCTGGTCCAGTCTTAAAATACATTGTCAGGGCCTATTTTCCTTACGCTTACACTATGTGAAGGAAATTCTATTATGTTCTTATTGTCGACATTCACCTTGTCAAATCATTTTAAATGGTAACCTTATTTGAATATCCGTGGTCATGTAAAATACACAATTGTCCTTAATTATCTGAAAATTAAACCCATGCTAAGTGTTTACCAATAGTTTACTGCCTTTTCCACAGCTAATCTGATTGCTCATCCCCACAACTAACACTAATAACTTAAATGATTTGCCAATAAAGCAAAACAAATTAAGAAAATCAAAGAAGGTATCTCAGTAGCTACTCGTAACTAATGTTTCTCTGTGTTATGTTACCAAAGGGAAAAAAATCAATGAATGCTGTGAAATAAGTTAAGTCTGTGCCCTCTCGAAAATACTTGCTTTTGCTCCTTTCAAAATAAGAACCTGCGGACAGAAAATATGCATCATTTGTAGATAAGTAATTTCTTCTAATAAAATTGTATTTTTTCCCCTCATCTAGCATGCACCCCCATTGTGCTCGATTACAGGGCATTGACGCAGCTCAGCGCTGTACGTGCAGCCATACAGCCACCCAGAGTTCCTGGCTAGCAGGACCACTTTCCCTCTCAGATGTTCTCCTGGTGGGTAGCAAACCAGTTTAACAGCCGTGACTCAAACAGGTCAAAGTCTATCTTGTGCTTGCCAGGATCCAAATAAATGACTGGTTTACTGCAGCTCTGAAGCTGGCGTTCTGACTGCACTGATGAGCCATGTTGTTCTGAAGCCAGAGCTCATGTGATAAGCTCCCCACTTTCACCAGTTTTGAATAATAAAGAATCTCTGTAGGAAAAGTGTTCATTTAATCAAGCTGAGTACATGGGAAACAGGCAAAAATTCAAAGTCGGCAAACTGTAACTAATATCCTGTAATATTATTTGTTGAATTTCTCTTTACGTCAATTGAGAAGTCAATTTAGTTTTATAATTGATTTTCTGGCCTTACTCTTTCAAGTTAACTATGTAAAAAATTGAGCCAAATATATATGGAACTGAATAAGCGGCAGGAGGGAATGAGTTGCAAAGAAAAAGATGAAAGCTGGGATTTTCAAAGGAGCAAGAGGGAGCTGAGTATCCAGCTACCCTGGAATCTCAATAGGCTTGGGCGCACAACTCTTGCAGGACCCCTCCAAAATCCCAGGCTGGAAAAATTAAATATTTACGGTGTGGCAAATGTTGAGAAATGGCTTGGCAGACTCAAAGTCATTAGGGGATGTGAACAGTGAAAGTTAAAGAAGAGAGATTGTTTCCAGTGGGGAGATGCTGACAGTATTAACAAGCAATAGCAAAGAGAAGTGTGTAAGCTGCATAGCAGGAGGAAGATATTGTGTCACCATTGTCACCACTACCATCAATACTAATGGTATGTCCAGAATTGGGATCTTAAAAAGTGCTGAGAGAAATAGCAATCACTGTCAATGGTAAATTACATTTTTAGGAGTTAGGATGGAAACGTCAGTCAGTAATATTATAGAAAAAGCGGCAAAACAAATAAACATTACTTGAGTAATTAAAGTAAAAAATTATCACAAAATTAAGATTTGGGCAATGTTATGGAAGGGGTTGATTCTGAATATTCTCACACATGAAGAAAATGACAAAAACAACTTGACTGTTCAAATACTCTTCCATATGAAATAGTGAAGGTGCCATTCAGTTACATGGATCAACACTGGATCTGCTCTATCCCACAAGGAATCCAAGTTTCTTATCACAAGCATACATGAATCTACAGTTTGGGGGGTTTTAAATAAATAAAACTCACTGTGATTCAGCAATCCTTTACTGAGTAGCTTCACTTAAAACCCCTCTCTTCCCACTGACTGGATGCTATACTTTCAAAGACATTATTTTACTTCCTACGGTTCTATTAATAACTACTACTTCCACTGATCATAGATTAAGCTTTTTTAAAATTATTTTTACATTAAGTCAGCTATTACCTCCTGTAAGGTAATCACAAGTGGTTTGTGCTCAGCATTACCCAACACTTGCTCTACAGTGGAAGTACAAGGAAAGAGACAAAGGGGCACCCAACAACACTGTTAAGAGAAAGGAAGGTACATACAGTGGAAACTTTACATAGTGGGAGTTAAACTTTACTTTTATTTTTGAGATCATCTCTTTATGGTCATGCTACTTCTTTTTATGCTTGTGGATATAAATCCTGCAACTAGTTTCCATAGTTGGAGAATTTGGTATGCAACAATGGGGTAGAACTGGGCGTAACAACAAATCTCCTTACGCAGAAATTGAAAGCCAAGGTGATAGATTGCAATGATTTATTAAGAAACATTTAGGCAGTGCCAAGGCCAGGTGATAGTTGAACTGAGCACAGTGCAGAACCCTGTGCAGGTGTTGAAGTTCCCCACACGCACAGAGCTCGCTGGTCCATGCTGGGGTCCAGGTTGAGCAACTCTTGCACAGACCTCATGTAGAGGAATGAGAAAAAGAAGGTGGGGTGAAATTCAGCCTCTTTCTTGGGTCTTGGCTCCAAGGACATCTCCAGTGAACTGCAGTAAGAGCAACTCTGGAGATCTGGCACCTTCACCTGATCGTTTCAGGAAATTGAAGCACTGCCAGAGCGCTACCAGGAAGGACAAATAATTCTTTCTGCAGCTTGGGGACCACCAGAGTTTAGTGACTGCTTAGCAAGTGCAAAACTTTTGTCCAATTTCTGCCTCTATTCTGGACAACTGAAACCCACTTCCGACACCACCCAGACTAGAAGTAGATTAAAGATTTATGGATCAAAGAAAAACGATGAATATGGGTGCCGACTGGCCACAAATATGAGAGGAAACAACTCCTAAGAAACGGAGGTAGCTGTGATTCACAGAGGTAGAAGGTCAGAGGCCTGGAGAACTCTATGTGCCTTCAAGGTTAGGTGCCAACTCAGTTTGGCAGTTAAGTTTTACAGACTATGTTGTTTGTCGGATTTAGTCCAGATTCTCTCTTGATGTCTGTAAGCAACACGGTGTGTAATTCAGGCATGTGTTTCCTTTGGAATCGGTGATAGGAATGGAATTAATTCCTGGATGGAAGTAATAACGGTGACCTATCTCAGGTCACATATTGATAGCTCACAGCAGGAGGACACCATACACAGACACTGAAAGTTTCTTTATGTGTATAACTATACTGTCCCAAACTACTTTATTGTATAAATTTCACCATTTCCATTATCCTTTTCTATCATGTATGAAAAAGT